TCCGCCCTCACATTTTCCGTGACGTGAGAAAGCCACCCCATTTCCGCGTCCAGCTCCATGTACTGCCTGCGCAACTCTTGCAACGCATCGCTGCTACAGTCCTGAACGACCGGCCTTGCCTGCTGCGGTGGAGAGACTAGTTGTTCTTTCCCCTCAATGACAGATACTCGGAGGTGACGGCTGCAATTGACGGTTTCTTCTTCCCCCTCCTTTTCCTCATTTTTTTCCCAACGGGCATCCGCAAGACATTCCCCATGGGGATTTCCACGTCCCTCAGTCTCATATTGACAACAGTCACCATCACGCCGCCTCCCACTCACACGTTGCCCGGAGCAGCGACGCGGCACCTTCTTCAAGAAAGGAGCGTCCTTCTTTGTACGCCACCCCTCCTCCTCAGCGGCCGCATTACAATCCACGTATTTTGGGTGGTGGTCTTCCACACCGCTGCTGCTGATCTTGTTACTGTTGTCAAGCTCATTTTTGCAGTCGCTATTACTACCGCAGCCGGGCACAACAAAAACTTCAGCCTTATCCTGTTTGGTCTCATGTGGCGGGGCCACCCCCGCAGCATGATTCAAGACATTATCGCTATCCTTTTCTTCAAGGACAATGTTGTCCTCTGGAGACAGCGATATGGTCTCGACAAGATTCTCACGTGCTGCTGTACGCATCCTGGGGCAACCCTGATAATCATCACGAGTAAAAACGATGGGGAAAAGACCAAATCGCCCGCCCGACTCCACAATGGCCCACGGATCAACACGACGCACCAGACGCAACCGTTCACCTGGCTGTGCAGGCAGACAGGCATCGGCATACGGAGCACCAGCGGGTGGCGAGTACGGAAATGCCACAATCCGAAAGGACATTTCCCCCGGACTAATGCCTGATTCTCTTCTCCCGCCTTCCTTCTCGCCACACAGACACAAAACCTTCTTTTCTTGTCTTCGCCCCTGTCCTGTTTTTTGACCCCCGCCAGAAATGTAACAAAAACGAAAAAGAAGCTTGCGGCGAACGTGGCAACATAAAAAAGTAGTAATAAAGAAGCGTGAAAAACTCGGGGAAATTTGAGAAGAAAAATTACGATGCCTCCCCCTCATTCATGCCCTTTTTGGCGGTGTCTTCATCCTCCTCATGAAGAAACTCCAAAGTTCGGGAGGCCACATCTATTGCCAGCAATGATGATAAGACAAAAAAAAAAAAAAGTTATAAAACAATTGTCGCAGCCGTGAGGCATCAAAAAGCGTCAGTAAAAGTCCCAAATGACCCAAACGAAATTACAAAGTCTCATTTTTTTTTCCCGTCGTGATATTGGTGCAGCCGATAAATATGATGTCTCTTACCTCCGTTTCTGTGTTTACCCGTCTGATTTGAGGTTTTGTACCTTGTCTTTTTTATTTTATTTTATTTTTCTTGAGGAAAAGGGAATAAATTTATTCGTGACTGCCTTCTCCACTGCTCTCGTTCACGGTGCATGCAGGCAGGCGTGTGCTTGCATTTTTTTTCCTTTCACACCACCTCCTTCTCCCCTCGCCCCGCCCCCTCTTCCTCACGTCTTTGCTGTTTTTTGCTCGTCATTCCTTGGGGCGCTTCTTACCGCAGTTGCAGACCACTTTCTCCCTGTAGTTCTGGCGGTGACACTCCACGCAGTACCAGTCGCCTCGCGACCAGAAGGAGAGCACGTCGGAGCGAATGCCGTCCACTGCGGGCAGTCGGCACACTTGGCAGTGCGCATCTTCATTGCGGTTCACCTTGTGGCAGGCACAAAGCCAGTGCTGGCCATCGTTCAGAGGCTGATGGTGCCATGGAACCTCGCAGCGCTCGCAATGGGAAAAGCCATGCAAAATGCGGTCCACCTTCCACGCTGCAGCCTTCTCCTTTGTGGCGTTTCTGTCTACAGGCGACGATGGGTCATGACGCTCCAACGCTACAATGTGGCGTGATGCCTTGTTCACATGGTTACAGCTCTCACAGAACCAATTTGTTGTTCCTGCAAAATCCCAAACACGCAGCAGCTCTCCTAGTATGGCGGTTTGAGGCAGGCGCCGCGGAAATCGACACCTCGGACAGGAGAGGGTGGCGGGATTACCGACCTGCCCGCAGGCGCAAAGCCATGCGTCGCTTCGGGAGGAAGCAGTCGCGCCATGCAAAGGACTTTTACACGCTTTACAGCGCTGTTCCGGGGCCAAACGAGGAAAGCAATTGTGTAGACCAAATGGGCGTGATACATGGATGTAATCAGCCGGCTCAGAGCCATACATTTGTTTGTTACTCAACATCTGCGACGCCTTACAATTAGAGCAGAAGACGGCAAACTCAAAACGACCCTTGTTGCAATTTCGACAGATTGACGATTGGAGAGCGTTGGACTCCTGACACGACGGACAACGCCACCTTACGATGCGATTCCTTGTCACAATCACCGAGCCCACCGGGGCACGCTGAATCTCATCCCCCACCCGCTCATGATGCGTCACACGTAATTCAATCTGCTCATCTCGCCGCAAGCTACACGAGCGGCAGGCCAAGTCACGCTCAAAGTTAAACTCACGGCATCGACTGCAAAACCAAGTGGTGGGATCTTCACGCCAGCCTGCCACTGCCCTCACCGCATCGTGTCGAATGGTTTGGCAGAAGTCGCAGACAGAGCGAGAACGATGTGGCATACAACGGAAACACGACCCACACACCCACCCACCTGAAGCAAGAGTACGTATCCCCTCTTCCGTTTTCTCTACACGATGAACTTCACACCACTGCCGCTCCGTGGGCAATTGTGGAGGTGGTATTTCCCCACTGTGTACCGGTTCAGAATCCAATGGTAATTCTTTGGGACACGCAATGCGGGCCATTTGTTCTTCGTGCGCACGGCGTTTATCGTGTCCTCCGTTAGGGAGTCTTGTGTTGAACTCAATTGCATCGACTGGCCATGGTGGAAGAACCTCCAACCGCCCCTTGGCACTCATTTCCAAGGCACCCGCCAACGGCTCTGTAGGGTGCAGGCGAACGTCGTGAGCAGCGTGTCCTCCAGACGCCATCCTACAGATCCCGACCGGGCCCCACCGCTGCAGTTGTCTCCTACCCCACAGTGGAACAGACCATCGCCGCATTCAGAATTTTTCTTTCCACACTCTTCGTTTTAAACCCCCCGCTCCCACAGCCTCTTGCCAAGATCATAGGAAGAGAATCACAGACACACAAAGCAGAGACATCAAAAAGAAAAGAGAAGAAAATGACAGGTACACACAAACGGAAGAAGCAGTGAGGGTAGCGTTATTCAAATTCCTTTTCTTTTTAAATAATAACAGAAACTCAGTCATACAAACTCCAGTCGGCACAGCATGTGTATACGCACTCTTCCCTCGCATTTTTTCCCCTTGCTATTCCCTCTTCTTCTCCCCCTCCTTCTTGCATGGCTGTTGACACAGAGACAACTCACCCACAATGCTCAAAAGCCCATGAAATAAAAAATCCAAACATCTACAAAAAATAAATAATTACAACAAGAAGAGAAGGGCATGAAAAGGTGCGATTCAGTGCAACGAGAAGCAGATGCGTGTATGTTGCCCCCGCACGCAACCATTTATAATTGTGAGAAAGGGAAAGAAAAAATGGAGGGGGCAATGACGGCAATGCTTCGCATAGCAAATTAAAGTAAGGCACACCCATTAATCCGCAAGTAAAAAAAGAAACTCCACCACCACCAAAAATGGAATAAAACTGATGATGATAACTTCTAATAGTTGAGGGTAAAAAGAAGAAAGAACAAAGCAGGCATTACTGCCGGCCATGCGTTCTACTCCGGCGGTGGCGGCGGCGGTGGATCTTCATCGTCCTCGTCATCCTCATCGCTTTCCTCTCCGTCATCGTCGTCATCTTCTGGTGGTGGCGGTGGCGGCGGTGGGTCCTCCTCGTCATCGTCGCCCTCCTTTTCGAGACTCTCCGATTCATCATCGTCATCATCATCCGCAGGCGGCGGTGGCGGTGGCGGTGGCAGTAAATTATCATCACTCTTCTTACCTTCTGCTTCTGCAATAACGTCCCCACCATCACCGACAATCGGAGGAGCTGGCGGTGGATTAACATCGTTTTCCTCTCCCCTTTCTGCCGCACCACCAGCTGTGGTCTGAGGGCTTCCACTCTTTCCGCTCGGCAAATCAATGCCCTGCATGGCAAGTCTCAGCATTTTCTCCTTGTGCGCCTCGAGTGCCCTCAACTTCGCCTCCTTAAAGGCCGCCTTACGCTCCTCCTGCTTGGACTTGCTGCGGATCGCGCTCTCCGGCAGGATGCGAAGGTGCGGCGCCAACAACTCCACCTCAACCTCCTCGTAGTTTCCAATCAACAAACGCTCGCGGGGAAAGTGAATGGCACGTTGCTTCTTAGCGGCACTCATCACACTCGCCAGACGCTCCTGAAACAAGTCCTGGAGAGTGGAGTCACTGTAAATTTCGCCCCAAAGAAGAACAGCACCCCGCCCTGCATCTATTTTCTTCAGCGACCCGTTCAGTCGCTGAAGCTCACGGAGAAGCAAGTCAATATCAGCGTTGGTGTCTATGATGAGCTCCACCATTTGCCGCCGCACACACACACACACAAAAAAAAAACGCCTTCGTCTCCTAAGGCTTCTACCCCTTTACCTTGGGCCCCTCTACCATGCACACAAAAAAAGAAGAAAGTAACAACCGCCAATATATATATATATGAGACAGGGACAAAAGAAGAAAAGTTTTCTTTTTAAGGGCCTTAATTACCCCTTCAACTTGAATTGTAGAAGATATTGGAAAGGATACCTCACAGGCAAGCACTGTGTAACAATGATAAAACCGTGAGTATCAACGCGGAAAGGGTGTGACCATGCATCGCAACTGTTGGATGAGCGCATGCAAATCAAGACATTACAAGAGCACATTTTTGTTGCGCGGAATCCCCTCTTCTTTCTTGCTGTTGTTGTTTTTCCCCCCGCATTCCAACTCCAAACCCCAAAACCCTGTCTTGGGAACCTATATTATTCCGGCTGCCTTCAATTCTGAGATCGCCTCCCGAATTCTACCACAGCGGAGAAGTCCCTGCGCTCGTTTTTTCACTTCCTTTTCGTGTTTTCGCCGTAGACGCAAAACTGCATGTGACTCACCCGCAACAGCGCAAACTTCACGACACTCATACGGCTTGTCGCACCATCGACAGAAGTGCTTTGCACTTTTCCTTTCAACAACTCCGCAGGGGATTGCTGTCGTCGCCATCTCCGCTACAGCGCCGCTGACAACTGTACATGTCGTAGATAACACGGGCTCCGCCCTCGGTGAGTAAAGATATCCAAATGACGATACCGACCCATCGGACCGCTCCGGCCGCGGTGACGTATAACTGCGTTGCCACATGTGTCGGCTTGACCCGCGACTTTCCCTCTCCGCATCCTCAGCTCTCCTTGACAAACTCGAGGGCGGTGGCGATGGTGGTGGTGGTATTAGCCCGCCTCGACGACACGGTAGAACTTTGTGCTGCGCTGTTCCCGTTCTCTCGAGTACAGGGGTGTCCAGGCTGGTCAACGACTTGGTGTGTAACGACGCTCCGTAACGCTGGTAGTGGGCCCCACACGAACCCGGTAAATCGGAATGGATGAGAGACGGAGACTCTATTAGACCCTCGCGAAACTCCCTTGCTGAAAGGCTCAGTTTACACGACGGCTTCCAATCATTCCCATCCATCTCAGCCGCATTAAAGTATCCGTCTCGTAGACACACCAGCGAGGGGGAGCGCAGCACTCTCACCCGTGAGGCTTCCTTGTGGTCCGCCCTTAAACCCATTAATTGTGTTTTCCTTTCATTGTCCTCTGGTTCGTAGTACGGCCTTTCTCCACAAAGCCTTTCCACCCGCACCTGCTCACCAAAATGAGTGTTGGGATTCACATCATTATCATCATGGCTCATAATATTTACAACCATCGTTGAATTATTTTGGGGTGGTGGTGATGTAGGTGAAAGAAGTCCACTTCCCTCCCATCTTGGAAACTGAAGTGATTTCTGGTGAGAGTTGGAGCCCTGACAGGTCTCGTCGACCCCTTTCTCGTGTGAAGAAACAACGGAACTCCACATTGAGTTCTCTTCAACAAAATTCTCACCAACAACAGGGGGGCGGAGGAGATCTGACTCTGCATGCATCAAAAACTCCTCGCCAATGCTGCTGAATGTAAACAAGGAGGAGGTTTTCGCAGATCGACTGTCGCCCAGGTGACTCGTCCTCTGAGAAGCACTAGCAGCCCCTACAGCGCCTGTAGGTGTTACTTCCTGATCGAGCCGCTGTGGGAAGGCCCGTTCCCTCGCATATGAACAAAGAAACGCCTCTCGCACATCCAACTCTTCTTTTTCAATGAGAGCTCGCCCAGACATCTCATCTTTAATGAGGGTTTCCTTCTTAGCTGTGATTTCGTCATCTTCTTCGTCTTTTTCCTTCTGCTGTTTCGTTTCAGTTTTTGAGTTATTGTCGCCATCTGGCTGCACAGCCACATTCTTTGAAATTAGCGTGGGGAGCAAACTCCGTTTTTTCCCCCGGGATTTGGTGTCCGCGTCCCCAGGCGCATCAAGAGCGGAGGAATAAAAATGCGGCGACGGAGAGTCAGTGTGCTCCTCCTCATGGCAGGAGATGCAGGTAAATAGTGCGGATGTGTGGGAAAAACCGACAGAATACTTCCTCTTCATACTCACAACAGCGGAGAGACCCTCCACGGAACACTCTGTATAGTTCTCGGTTGTTGTTGTTTTCGGCGTTGACCCCGAACTTGCCGCCGCAAACTTGTCATTAACCCGAGAAGAAGGAGGCGAAGGTCCATCTGACATGCCATTCATGCACACTGCCGTTGATTCCGGCTCGGCAGTCACTTCCCTGAACACGGGGGCCCGCTGGCGGAAGCATTCCTCTGGCCCCCTCTTCGTGTCATTCACAGCCGACTCGCCCATCCCGGTTGTCGCTGCTGTTGCCCCTGTCACGATCGGTTTTGTCTTCGTGTGGTACGCGCTAGAGCAGTTGGTTCCTACGTTTTCCAGTGCTGGGGCCGTCAATGTAATGCCAAATGGCACGGAAGGAATCGAAAGCACATCTTCCTGTTCCGGCAAAAGTTCTTCACGGGCATGTGAAGGGGCGTCCGGCCCGGAAAACGCAACCACACTCGAGGTGCCACAACGCTGGATGTTTGATTCACTTTGTGCAAACATGCGACTGCGACGGCCGCGACGCCTCCGCCCACGGCTTCTCGTGCTGATGCTGCTTGCGTGGGCAATGTTGCCGTCGGCAGTGTCCTTGGCGCATGTCGCTCCCATCACTGTAGTTGAGCAACAAAAAGAAACAAAATAAAAATAAAAAATTAAAGCATCCATCAGAGTGAGAAGACACCAAAAAAAACAAAAAAACATGCAACTTCATGGAGTGCCAATCCCAGAAAAGTACTGATATGCCTCCATAAATAAATGACCCACCAATAAGAAATGATTCATGAAAGAAGATATGTATTTGCTCAGGGACGTGTACTCACACTCTCGCACCATCCCTCTTTTTCTCCCAACTTCAACTTTTCTACCAGTCTATGTTGTGTCCCGCTTGTGCATGTATGTTCGCGTGTGAAAGTGTCACCAACATCTAAGGCTGCTGATGACGAGACGGTAGAGACATCCATTTGGCGATGCGTTCCGCCAATGCTGAGGCAGCAACGATGGACGCTTTCCGCTCCTTCTTCAACGCAGAACTAGTACCTACCGGGGCCAAGTCCAGCTGAACGACATACTGTGTGAGTAGCTCATCAGCCTCGACTGCCTTTCGCAGAATAGCCTCTCGCAGGGTCTCATCCACCGTCTCTTCGGTCCGAATACCAGCGGAAACAGCATTCATATTACCGGCCTCCTCATGCTCCTCCTCCAATGCGGTATTCGTGTCCGATAATTGGCTCTGCCAGCGCCTACCAAGGCTCTCCAGCTCACTCAACACAAGAAGAAGCGGTGCCTCATGCGTTCGTTCCACCCGGCGTTGAAACATGCGGAATGCGCTCTCTGTGGCGTCGACGAAGTTGATTTCATCATCATCCTCTCCAGTTTGCCGGAAAATCGATCTGCCTGACGGGCAGCACGGGCTTTGCCCGCTGTCTCCCACGGTGTCACCACTAAAACCCTTCATGTGACCAAACGGTGAGTGCCAAAACCACCGCAGCCCCCAACCAGACGCCGGCCTCTTCACATTATCCTGCGCAGATCGAATGTTCCGTCGCTCTCCGCACACGCGCCTGATCCATTGGCACATGTACCCCACAACCACAGCACCGCAAGTTCCCAGCAGAATGTTTTTGTGGGTCCGAAAAAAAGACCGCAATCGCCGCAGCAGCCGCACAGTGATCTCCTTCACTTTTGATTCCGCAGCTGCAGCGCCTCTACTGGAGGCCTTCGGCCGACTCGCTCCCAAAGAAACGGCGACCGACAATTGGGAAGCATCGGACGCCTCCGTCTGGAAAAGCCGACGAAACATCCTTGCAGTCGTGCCCTATTGAAATCTCCCACCCTGTGCGTCAATCGGCCAGGAAAAGAAGAAAACAAAACCAATTTGTTTACGCCCTTTATCACCCTCCGCCGCCCGCACGACACCACACTGCAGCTGAATCATAAATGACGTAATCCATGCAGGTCCAAAAGAAAAAAATAAATAAACAAAAAGTTGCATACCGCCAAAGGAGAACAAGACGTAAAGAATGTCGTAGCACTGCTGCAACGGTGGCTTAAGAGAATTCTATTACTTCAAAAGAAGGAAGAAGTCATTAAAATTGAGAAAAAAAGATTTCTCTTTTTCTTGTCGTTTTACTTCGTTCTTTCTTTTCCATTTCTTATTCCTCCTTCACATTCATCAACGGTCGACGTCTTTGAGCGACACATTCATTCTTTTTAAGACGTTCCCAACGGCATCCATGAGCGCAACGCAGTCGGGCATATGAATGTCCCCAAGCGTGCCGATACGAAAAGTATCGGCAAACGAAGCCTTCCCGGGGTAAATCACGAAGCCCTCGTCCTTGAGGCGGTCGTAGAACTCATTGAAGCTCCAGTTGGGCACCTGTGGACTACGAAAGGCGGTGATGACAAAACCGTAGGATGGTCTCGTGGGATCAAGAAAAAGCTCAAAGCCATACTCGCCCGTCATGCGGTCAACAATGTAGCGATTCATCTCCATGTAGCGCTTTGCACGCGCTGTCACCCCTCCCTCCTGTTCGTGCTCCAGTAGGGCCTGACGAAACGCAACGATGGCCTGCACTGGCGGCGTCTGACTGAATTGGCCACCGTTCTTCTCAAGACCATCCCACTGCATCGAGACGTCAAGTGTGTAACTCGGCGACCACCCGCGGCATCGCTCTAGAAGGGCCCGACGTGCCAAAACGAGGGAAAAGCCCGGAACACCTTGAATGCATTTGTTCGCAGATGTCACCAAGATGTCGCACACATCCGGCACGGAAAAGTCCACGGCACCAAAAGAACTCATCGCGTCGACAAGAATGGTCGCCTCCGGGTGATGACGACGCACGATATCACTCACCTCCTCAATGGGGTTAAACATGCCGGTACTCGTCTCGCAGTGGACAATACCAACAGCAGTGACGGGAGACGTTATTTCGGCAAGTTGTCTTTTAAACGCCGCAAGGTCCATGTCAACACCCTCTTCCGTGTCAAACACCCGCAGCTCGGCTCCACCATGCTTCTCCACAATGGAGGCCATACGATAGGAGTAGGACCCGTTGCGAAGAACAACAAAAGCGCCCGAATGATTTGGAGGAATGATGGTGTTAATCGCTGCCTCGATGCCCATGGTGCCACTTCCCTGCATCGGCACACAAGCCCATTCCGCCTCCGGAGCCTTCCCTATTTTTAAAACACCGCGCCTCACCTCCGCCACAGCCGTGAGAAAATCCTTGTCACGGCTGCCGTAGTCATCAAGCTGTGCCTCCCGCACCGTTTGGGATGTAGACAGAGGCCCAGCGGTAAAGAGAACGCCGTGTTTGCGGTGATGCCTTTGCGCGTAATTCCCCAGAGACATCTTCACTATGTGTGACAGCCTCATGAAGACAAGAACTTAGCTACCTCCTTTTTATGGCCAATATTTTTCCCCCTTTATTGACAATCTTACGGCAAAATAGAGGAGAAAGAAAAAAACAAAAAAAAATTTCATCGTGCATGGAGAAAAAGAAATTAAAAAAGAAGGAGAAGGAAACACACGTAATGTGCTTACCGGCAATAACATACATATATATAATAAAACACCTTCCAGAAACTTTGTTTTTATTTTTGGTATTATTTCTTTTTCCTTTTTCTTTTTAAATAATAATAATAATAATAATAAAACAAGCAAAATTTCGTGATCGCCAGTAAACAAGAGTAAGCAACTTATATACCACGTGAATTGCTACCACGTACTCATATGCATACACATGTAATAAATATATAAATATATCCATGTAGAATATACACCCTTCTATTGTATTACCATATATAACTGCATCCATGGCAACCCTTTACGTTGGTACCAATCGCGTCTTACATAGTACCAGTCCGAGGCCTCCGAAATCTCAATGATATCACCCACGCAATCAAAGTAGCGAATTCCAAGTTCCTCAGCGTCCACCTCGTTTGCATTATCAATATCAAGAGGAAAAAAGAGCACATGATCAAGACCGTGGGCCTTCAAAGTCGTCTTGACTCGCCAAATAATGCCGTCCAGTCGTGTTCGTCGACTAATCGGCTTCATTGTGACAGTCATTGGGAGTACAAGCGACCCCACAGCGACAGCGGAGCCGCTTACTGGTGGTGGAGGTGGTGACTTATGCTGCCTTGTAATGTACGATTCATCTGGCAGAATGCAGAGTGTCACGGGCGTATCATACACCTCCATATTCGTCCCCCGCTCCGAGTCCGTCACGGACGACGCGCTTCGCCGGTCTACCTCGTCCACCTGACGCTTACTGAAATCCAACCGCGCTGGTGGCTGCAACGCCCACTTCTTGCAGCGCTCCGCCACAGCCGCCGCATCCCGTGCAATCCTCACCACTTCATTGGTTAGTAGTGACGTGTTGCCATCGCGGTATCCCGTCGTTGAGTAGCCGGGAGAGGCGGTCAATCGACGGAGGGTCCGCTCAATCCCAGCGGTTTTGGTGAAATCGCCCCCAATTACCGGTCCCAATGTGGCATCCGTCACAAACAACGCCGCAGCTGCGGCTATAGAATGTGGACTTTGGGTCGACTCCAAGTTCCCTGGCATGTTCATGGTGGAGCTCATTTCCATGTCTTCTCCGCATGTCATCATCCCCCGACGCTCTTCAAAAAATGACTTGGCGTACAGTTCGTTGAGCTCCGCCCGCAGTCTTGACCTCTCCTCCTCATGAACGGCATATGCCTCTCGCATTGCTTTAAGTCGCCACTGCCGGTGTACATAACTCGCCATGATTTTTTTGCGCAAAATCTTCTCCAACGCCTCTGTGGAAAGACCTTGACAACGACCAACGCTCCCAGGCGGACTCCGCAACTTCTCATCCACGTGGAATGTGTGAATCGCCGGCGTAGCAACAGCACGCGTCTCTTCCGCGTCCTCGCCTCGACCCGCCATTTTACGTCCTGCCGTTGGTGTCAAACCCCGCGTCTCCGGCAAATCCACTTCTTTATCGCCATCGGGCCTGGCACATGATAATGACAAACAGCGTCTTTTTCGTGGCGCCAAAAGTGAAAAGTGCTCCTCGTCTATCCAGTCCACCTGCACGACGTCATCCTCGTGTCCCTCATGCAGAGTGAGCAGCGAAAAGGCTTCGGCGTGTCGCAGCCAGGGAATTTTATCAACCGTCTCGGATATTACCTCATGGCTCGCTAAACAGACGGTGTCGCCCAACTCCACCGCGTCAATTGTGGCCTGCAAGGCCGACGAGCCGCGCCGCAAACACCCGGCCAGAGAAGCCGATCGTGACGCCGCCTGTATAATGTCGTTTCGTCGTTCTTTTGGCAGCTTCTCCAGCAACGTCCCATAGGACTGACTAACGCTACTAGCAATCAATGCGGCCGCTTCTATCGTTGCTTCCCTCGTCTCCTTGTTGCTTTCGGTAGTTGACGTGAGACAGCGAGATATCAAGCCCTGTGAAGCACTCTCCCTCGTATTCGAGCTGTCGGGACGAGGCAATGATTCCCTCGAGATCGGCCGGCTCACGGTGCCTAAGGAGCCGGAGTGCGGATCCGCAAAAAAAAACTCCCGTAACAGCTGCGACGCAGATGGCCGTTCCAGTGCATCCACGACAAGCATACGCTCCACCAATGCAACCACCAGCATGTGCAAACTCCTCTCTTGCTGAGTAAATGCGGCCCCGTATTTCGTCTCTAATGACTGCAGGTCAGATGGACTGAAAGTGTGCGCACGATAAAGTGCCTCCCTATCGTACTGCCCTTCTGTGACGACGTGAATTTGCGCCAGCACGTTATCTGCAACAAAAGGAAGTTTCAGACAGTACATCTCATAAGTGAGGACACCCAATGCCCACACGTCAGCACCAAACGAGTATGGCTCACCAAGGCAGAGTTCGGGGCAAAGGTAAAAAGGCGTACCAATAAATGTGTTTGCCAACGGATCCGTCAAGTTTACAAGTTTGCTTGCACCAAAGTCCCCAATTTTTACGCTGCCGTTTTTGGTCATGTATACGTTAGCCGCCTTGACATCACGGTGAATAATGTAGCACTGATGGAGATACGAGAGGGCTTCCAGGCACTGTCGCACAATGTCAGTGATTCGGTACGACTCAATCCAGTTATATGGACGCGCCTGCCCATGTTGCGTGTCGTCCAAGACGGACACCGCCCTCCGTGTCGTCAGAATATTTTTACTACCACTCGCTAGATTTGCACTTTGACTCCCTTCACGCATGTCCTCCCTCTCTTGTTCCTCCCACTGATGGGAATGACAGGACCCTTTATTGTTGCTTCCCCCGCTGAGCTCCCAGGAGCGTCGCAGGAGGAACGTCAAGTCACCGCCCTCCGCATATTCGGAGACCAAACACATTTGCTTCTCCTCATCCAAAAAGCTGTCAATGTAATGCAAAATGTTTGGGTGCCGCAGGTGTCGCAGAATGGCCACCTCGTTCATTGCAAGCATCACCCCACTGTCCGTGAGTGCATCAAGTGGTACCGCCTTCACCGCAACAGGCTGCCGATACCACGGGCTTCCAGGCAACATGTCATGGCACAGAAACACATTCCCAAAGCTGCCGGTGCCAATTTGGTGACTGCGGGGAAAACGGTCCCACTGCGAAATAACTCTACCACTGTCGTCAGCATGATTGTTCTTGGAATCACTACACGCGGATGCGCACCGCTCCAAGGAGACATTGACGTTCCCCGCCTCCCTCAGCGACCCAAAACTTCGAGACGAAAACGTTTCTGAGCGTATCAAAGACCCCCCACCAACACTCATGCCAAATCAATTATGGTGAATACGCCGAAGGAACAAAATATAATATAATATATACCTTGTGTGGAGTGAAGCTGCTTCTCCCCCTTCCTCACGTAAACAACTGTTCTTCTTTTTGTGTGTATATATATGTAATGTGTGTCTCTGGTGTAAGCAATATAAATACAACGGCGTGAGCCCCAACTTCACGATATATATATATATATATGTGTGTGTTTGTTCTCTTTTAGCTCGAGTTGTTAGCAGGCATAACGAACTCCCCTCAGCCTTTCTTGATTCCCAATCAATCAAATGGCCTTCCCCCAACCAACGCGACCACCACAACTCCTTCTTGTTTACGTATGTATGTATTGTACGTGCAGTCGTGTTGCCCTCCACTCCTTCGTGAATATCGACGGCACAAATTGCCTACAGTCGGAGAAGCAAAAAAAAAAGAACAGAACAGAACAGAGGGGGCGCAACTCACGCAAAAGGAAAATTAGTCGCATTTCTCCGCAAGAAAATTAAACCCTCCACAACAGACGTCCAAATCACCTCTTCATTCACCGGCACCTCCGTCACGCCCCCCCTCACCACAGCAGCCAAAAAAAGATGAAGAGGACGGACGTTTATTACACGAATTACGCGTTTAAATAAACGCGTATAAATATATATTATACGGCAAAAAAAAGGAAAAAAAATAAGAAAGAAATAAATAATAAAAATATCGTCCAAAAAAAATAAATAAATAAATAAATATTTTTTTTTACCGGATCAACAGAATAAAAATTGAGTGAATATAAAATAAATAAATAAATAAATAAAAGATTGATACCTTCAGTTCGTCTCGTATATCAACCCCGGACGTCATGTGCTCTCTTTTTTCTTCTCGCCTTTTAATCCCTCATAGACGCGTGTATGAGGAAAATAATACACATGCGGACCCAACATTTAAGAAAAGAAAAAAGAAAATGAGTCCACTGGCAGCCTCGCAGAAAATCTGCCCCCTTCACAGTCACCCAATAACCCAACAAAATCCCCACTTTTTTTTCTTTTTTCTCAGTCACCTGCTGTGGGTATTCGTTATTTCAGTGCTGTTCCTGATTTATTTCATTATTTTCACCTTTATTTATTTCATTACATTTTGTTGTTCCTCTTCCTTTCCTTCATTTTCTCTATGCCCAACTTTGCGTGGTACGTTAGCATTGTTGCTGTTGATTTCCTTTTACTTTTTATTTTCTCTCTCCTAATAATTTGAATTGCATCTCCTCCTCCTCCTCCTAATCCAACTCCTGCCTGCCCACAGCAGCACTACATCCCTTTGATGTTACAAATGTGCGGGGTACCGTCGTGCCTCCCCCGGCCTGAGGGTGAAGATGTGTCTAAAGCAGCGAAATCGGTCATTCACCTCAAAGCCGTAACCAATCACGTACTTGTTGGGCACCGTCAGGCAGACAAAGTCCGGTTGCATCGTTACCCGGCGGCCTCCAGGTTTGTCCGCCAGCACGCAGACCTTCAACGTGGCCGGCTGATGTTCTCGCTGAACCTTATCCAAGATGTACCTCAGCGTCTTTCCAGAGTCGACAATGTCCTCAAGGATAAGGACATGTTTGCCCCGCAGCGCCTTAAACTGCGTCTCAGCCAGAAGCTTCATCTTGTTCGTGCTGCTTGTACCCCTGTATGAGGCAACCCGCAGAAAATCCACCACGTGTGGCAGACCATAATCACCAAGGTAGCGTACCATGTCTGCAGTGAAGATGTAGCTACCTTTCAGAACGGAGATAATAATGAGCGGGTTTTCATCGCTTATGGGTGCCACACCTCCGCCACCGTGTGTGTCACGGTGGGACAAGGGCCTGTAGAAATCAGCGATCTGCTTGGCGACAGCCTTGATGCTCCGTTGAATCACACTCTCGGTGGCGACAAGTTCCTCCGCCATAGGGTACGCCTTGCCATCCACAACAATAACGCCCTCTGCGTTCCTGCTGACAACATGTACCATCGCTTGCTGTGAGGAAATCATGACGTGCGTCAATACTTTACTTCCGCTGCCACGGCCCTTCCACTCGTTACGTGCAAACACACACGAAGAAAAAAAAGTGAGAGAGAGAGAGAGAGAAAAAAAAAAAAGGGATGCAAGAAAAGTTCAAGAAAACGCCACAGCGGCACTTCGGACTGCGAGAAAAATGACTCAACACGCATGCGCACGCACAAAAAAACACATATAAACAAATTACGCACGTACACACGCATGGGGAAGCAAAAGAGAAGGGCATCACAGCAATGACTCCTCACGCCGCCCACCCCTCGGCTGTAGACATAAGTCATATACATCTCCATTAGAGAGTTCCTCACGTATTCGGTCCTTCATGCACCCCTCGGCAAGGTGGAGGGGGGAAGAGAAATAAAAATAAAAAAATGAGAAAAAAAAAAAAAAAAGAAAAAACGCCACGTGCAAGAATTCGTGGTTGATTTTTTTTTTTTTCCGCACCGGCTGACCCTTCGTTCCCCTTTCTTTTTTTGGAATTTCGCAGCTCTTTTCCACTGAGCCTTGAAGAATATTTTTTGTTTTTCCCTCTTTTACAATTCAACAATGCCTCCACGTGAGTTCTATCGCAGTGAAGCACATGTCTAAATACATACACGCAACGCCGATATACCATGAACACACATGAATTCCACATGCATGCAAGTGCGCAGTGATGTATGCATAGCAACAGAAGCATGGGGAGAAGGATGTAATCAGGAAATGTCGGGGGTACAGAAAAATCAACCTATCAACAAAAACAAAACACACACACATAAACAGAAAGACATCCGACGCCACTACCTCCCCTTCTTCATTCCCCCCTGCCGCCCACTCTACGCCTTCAGAGACTCCCCTGCTGCCCCCCCCCAAGAGACGTCCACACGTACGCCTGGCGGCACGTTTATCGGAGGTTCAACCCTCCCCTCTCCATGCAGGCACACATAAGTAATACTTATTTGCATTGGCCGATTAAATAAAAAAAAACAAAAAGAAAAAAACCTTAAACACATTTCCACATGGCGTCCTCAGTACTTGCTATGAAACTCCCTCTTGGCGTCTCTGTCGGTGTCAGCGCTACCAATGGCCCGCTGCTTCTTCTGCCGCGCTGCCTCCCTCTCCGCATACACCTCCGGACGAAGAACAACAATGTCGCGTAACTCACGGTAGGTGTCGTCGTAATCAAGACCGTAGCCAATCACAAAGGCGTTGGGTATATTCGCCACAACGTAGTCCGCAGAAAAGGGCACGCGTCGCCCCTCACGCTTGTCAAGCAACACAACTGTTTTTAAGCTCGCTGGCCTGCGTGTAAAATACATGTGGTACAAGTAATTCAGCGTGAGGGCGGTGTCAACAATGTCCTCCACAATCAACACATGGTGCCCCTCAATGCTGTGGCGCGTGTCAAGCAACATGCGCACCTGACCGGAGCTCGTGAGACCTTCACCATATGATGAGACGCAAATGAACTCCATTCGCACCGGCACGTTGAAATCACAGAGTGCACGGCACAAGTCAGCAGTGAACATAAAGCTTCCCTTCAGAACAGATATGAGCACAAGAGGGTTGACATAAGGGCGCAGACCCTTTCCCTTGTAGTCATCCGCAATGCGCTTGGCAACCTCCTTAATGCGGGTGCGGATCTCCTCTTCTGTGAAAAGGATCTTCTCTGCAAACTCGTACTCCCGTGGCATGTGGCAAATCTTCCCTTCTTTTTCCCCCTCCTCCTCACGCGCGAAGAGGCGTATAAACATTGCAAAACAAGGTTAAATACAACACAATAAAAAGAAGAAAAAAAAAAGGAAAAAACGGGGGCAGCGAGTATTGCAATAAAATCTCAAAGGGCAAGCCCCCACACACACACCTCTCAAACTTTCCTTAATAAAATGTCAAAGGTCTCTCCTTCACACGCTTTACATTCCCTCCAATGTATACGGTACACACGCTCTCCCTCGCTCTCTGCTTTCACCAACAACAACACCGCCGCCACCAGCCCTTACAGGCTACTAAACGGCCATCAACACTATTGGCGTATCTCCCTTTCTTGCCTCTCACGCCTCTCTCGAACCTCACGCTCCCATGAAGTTTCCATATTTCGTGCGCTGCGCTTGGCCGAGCCAAACAAGTTTTCGTTATAACTACCCATGCCTGTCACGGAGCGCTGATTCTTGGGAATGCGCAGCTGCGAATCGTCTCCAAAGAGATCCTCGTGGCGGACGTAGTGCCGCCGCACCCACACCCAGAACACAAAGGTAAACAGCGTACATATAGCGACCATAAGGCGGTGGTCACGGCTGTACATCTCCTGCTGTTCCCGCAGCTTCACAAGAGCCTCACGACTGATCTGCAAGGACCCAAGCTGCATCTTTCCGTGCACCTGTGACAGATTCATGGCCTTCTCATGATAATCGAACACCATCGTTCGGAAGCGTTTGTCGGCCTCGTAGTGAAAATTCTCATAAATGGCCCGCAGCTGTTGGACTTGTTTCTCACGGGTGCGCAAAAGCGTCTCCAGCTCCTCTGACGACATGGACCGATACGTGTCGATCGTGGGTCGACTTTTGACCGTAGAGGAGGAAGAAAACGTGTCAGTGGTGTCGGCAACATGTTGGGTCCGTGCAAACTCGCGTCGTGCGTGTTCCCCGCAATCATCCCCGGTGAAGGCGGCGGAAGAAAAGTCATTCCCCGACGACAATGATGAGCCAAACGCGGCTGCCGCTAGTCGCGCTCTGCAGTGAGCGTACATCAGTCCCTTCTGTCTCTTCATTCCTTTACAAACCCGCCCACCTTTTACCACGCTGTCTCAAAGATGTGCTGCACTGCGTGAGGTGTGGCCCAACACATAGACGCGCAGAAGCAAATAACAGAGACACCACGGCACCTCACCGAGAGAGGGAGAAAAAGAGGAAAATCAAAGACAGAAAAAGGAAAAGGCGTTGAGGGTAAGCCAATAAAAATAATAATAATAATAATAAAATATAAAGATGATGTATTCGGGTAGATAAATTTTTTTTCGTTTCTTTGATGGTCAACCTATTCCACACACGCACACATAAACGTACTTTCCCTCTCTCTCTCCCTCTCCTTCCGGGCCAAAACGGAAAAAAAAATATGCTCCCCCGTTTTGCTCAAATGACTGTTTCACGCCACACACACACACACACACACACGCCCGGCCCTCTTCATTCTTACGTGTGGCCTTTGAAAATAAAGGGGGGAAAGTGGATTTAGAGACCGTTTCCCAAACCTTTCACCTTCACTCGGCCCTCCGCCTCTCTTTCACCGCAGAGAAATCATAAATTTTTTTTTTATTATTATTGTTACTATTATGACACACATGACCGCCCGTCCACATACCGAATGAAAGTTAAAAAAAAAAAAAAAAAAAGTGATAAAGATGGCACAGTCACGTGAAAAACAAAAGAGGGATATACATACATGCCCTTTTTTACTCTCTTACCCGATCCTAAACAACATCCCTGCATTGGGTCATGTCTGTTTGCGGTACGTGTGTGTGTGTGTGTATAAATATATGCGTGAGAGAATATAAAATCAAAACTAACAAATTAGAAAAAATTGTGGCTCATTCTTTTTTTTTTTTTTTTTTTGTGTGTGTGTGTGAGGGAATTCATTACTTCATTTTCTCTCTTCCCCTTCCTCCTATTGCTTTGCTCGTTGTCAACTGCTTTCCCTCCAGCAGATGTAGTATGCCTCCGTCTCTTCTTCTTATTCTTCTTCTTCTACTAAGCCCTCTGGCCCTAGTAGTCATCGCCCTTGGAGAGAATCTCCTTCGCCGTTGGCTTTAACAGGATGGTATGCTCAAACTGTGCTGTGTAGCAGCCCTTCACGTCACATAGTGGAGGATACCTGTTGACAGCCCCCGCCTCCACCAGCTGGTTCAGGTTGAGAAGGTGCCTGTCGTAGCCGTCACGGTCAAGCCACTTACGCGCAAAGGCCAGCGTTCCGTACGTCTTGTTGATGTGCTTCAGCAGGTGTTGGGCCTTTTCAGAGCGCAACTGTGTTTTATCGCCCCCTGGTACCATCATGTAATGTGAGCACTCCATATCTTCCTGAACGACACCTCGTCCTGTGGAACCAAATGTCTCAATGGCAAACAGCTCACCCTCCTCCATTTTAATCGCCTCCCCACCACGCACAATGGGCACGGATTTGCCGCTGTGGATGACATACGGCCCAATGTTGTGACCGCAGAGATTACGGATGCTCTTGACAGGGTACACCTTGCCTTTGATCTCCACCTCGTAGGATTCCATCACTTCCTGGATGGCCTCGCCAATATCGCACAGACGCACATCAATGCCAGCCTGTTTAATACCCTCGTAGGTGGCTGATTTTACCGCCTCCAGTAATGGGGCATACTCATCGTTGAATGCTACTGTCCACGCACAGTCAACAATCCTGCCGTTGATTTGGGTTCCGAAGTCCACCTTCATCACGTCATCGTAAGTCAGAACCGTCTTGTCGCCTGTGTTCGGTGTGTAATGCGCGGCGACGTGGTTTAGCGAGCAGCCAGTCGGAAAAGCCTGTCCGCGCGTAAGACCGTCCTTCATTATAAGCTCCTCCACCTTCCGTTCAATGCGATCCGTCATGGAGATGAGTGAGATGCCAGGTTTAATGAAGCTCTGGGCGTAGCGACGCACCTGACGATGCACCTCCGCAGCATGACGAAGCTCTTGAACCTCCTGCTCGGTCGCCCTCTCCATCGCTCTCTTCTCCTCGCTACTGTGTCGATAGGCATTGACCTCACCTGGATGTTCGCAAATCTCACCTGGAGGGAAGTTCCCACTAGTGAACTGCATGCACACAGGAACAGTTGGCTCTGGCCACGTCTGCCGCTTCATGCCTGGCGCCACCTGCGGATACGGATTGTCGACGTGATCGGCGGTACTGACTACCTTGACGCCCGTCCCGTCATCCCGCACCTCCTCCGTTGCACTTGTTTTTTTCTGCTGCTGCTTCCCAGCCCCGCTATTTTGTTTCTTCTGATGGTGGCCGTTCTCGGCCTTGGGTAGTGCCGCCTGCGTCTCCTTCACCGCCTTCGCAAGGAGAGCGTCAAATTCGTCATCGTCGCTCTTTTTACTTCCCTTCTTTCCACCCTGGCGTTGCTGCTGCTGCTGCTGCTGTTGATGCTGGTGCTTGCCATTCGTGCCACCTCCCTTTGGAGGCATCGCCCCTATTTCCTTCCCCTAGTCTTTTTTATGAATTCCCTTGGGACCAAAAATAAAAGAAAAATAAATAAATAAACAGCACGCGCGGCACAGAGACCTAACAATGGAGGCCACGGGAACCACATGAAGAAGTGTGGAGCAGGAAAGACACGGATGCAGAAGTGCACAAAGAAGTAAACACACACACACACACAAATGAAAGAAATGCGTGTGCGTGACGGGTGAACAAAGGAAAACATCCAATAGAAATCCAAATATTCGCCGGGGCTGTTGGCCGGATCCTGAAATCACATACATAAATAAAATATAATGGGGGAAGAAGAAGACAATAAAAGTGCAGTAGGGTTCGCCACACATCCTCCATGTTTACTCCAATTATATTTATATATCATTCGATAGACATCATCGTGGCACGGTGCGGTCCATTCGGATCGGAGACATTTGTTACTTACGAAGTGGAAGACTTTGGGCTCCTCCAGCCACAAGACACCGCCGCAAGTTGGAGGAATAAAAAGGAGGGTGGGTAAATTGGGTGGAATGGCAAAAGCAAAAATAAAAATAAAATTCGCCTTGCCGTTATCAATTCCTTAATTCCCTTCCATCGCAGTCTTTCAAAGGATTCATAAAATTGAAAAAAAAAAAAAAAAAAAATTTTTTCCGTACAGGAATACACGTGTTTTTATCAGGATACATATATTTATATATACATGTATAAATGAATTTAGGTAGCCAGCCCGCTCGTAAAAATTCTCTTCACAGGCTCCCAACAAAAACAACAACCAAAAAAAAAAAAAAGAGACCCACCACACAAGCACACGCACACAAGAGACATCCACACATCCCAAACTGTTTGCTCCTCCCTATATTTATATATCTCTCTTTAAATTTTTTTTGAGTGTGTGTGTTTTTTAAATTCCCCCGCCCTTCCCTCGCTCACACCGTACGTCTGACCGTTTCTTGCACCACGCGCTGTCATTCCTAGCGCATGAAGTTCTTGTTTAGTTTTTCCTCTTTTCGTACGTGTCCAACCCGGACTCAAGGGAGACGCCAAAGAACTCAATGTACTTCACCGTGGGAAGCTGATAAAAGTGTTTTGGCTCGACACTGCACACATACACACGCTGCAAGACGCTCAGTACGCCGCCCACAAAGCCAAGCAACACGGCTAACGTGTCTGTCGCCTCTTGTTCATTCCCGCCGCCACTGTTGGTCTGACCGGTACCTTCCGCCTCCGCACTATTCTCCGTTGCGCCGCCAAGAGGCGGAAGCAGCAGCAACAACAGCGGGTGCCCTGGTAGCGCAACATACGTCAAAGCATGGGTGTCAAAGTGTTTCAGCCACGGCCCAATACCCTCCTTCATGGAATCCGACATCGTCCTACAAATCGGCTTGGCGCTGCAACCATACGCAAGTCTCCGCTCAATAAAATTGAGTTCTTTAATTTCACTCATGACGACATTTTCCTGATTTTCTTTAAATTTGGCAGACTCCAGAACGATAAAGTAGGCGTGAACAGGGTTGGAGTGATCCATGATGCAAGAGCGACCAGCACCTGACGACACAGACTTCTGCGTCACCGCGTCCAATAGTCTTGCCGCGTATGCAACAATATTGCGGTTCTTGCTGCGTTCAATGTACAAAAAAGTGTCTGGTGTGTCCCGCTCAAAGCGATTGCCTCGGGGCGACACACGTTGACGCAACAATCGATTGAGTGACGTCGCATCACCCTTACACTGCTCATACAGTATGTGGGCAAGGGAACTGGCGTCCTTCGGGTTTCCCATTTGTGAAACAAAAAAAACAACAACAACAAAAATTATAATAATAAAGAGTGCCGCCCACCGCACACTGCAAGAAGTATTCCTTCTCCTTAAAGTCTCCGCACTGTGGAAACGCAAAAAAACGGTAAAAAAAGAAAAAAGAAAGAGCACATTGAAAAACAAATACAACCACGCGTCCCACGCGCACACACATGCGTGCATATGTTTCCACAAAGAAAGAACAACAATAAAAAGCCAACAAACAGCCGTAAAAAAAAAAAAAAAGAAGAGTCCCAATCCAACCTCTTCCCTTTTTGTTTCTCCCGTTGTTGCACTTGGGTTCATCCTTTCGTCGTCGTGCATATCGCTCGTCCTGCTGCCATCAGGAATCACTGTCATCCTCAGCAGCAAGAGAAAAAGTCCTCACTTGTTGTACGGTAGGCGTGGCCTTTTGCCGTAACCCTCCGTCTTGACGTACCGTGCGCCGAATGAAAACTGTTTTGGCCGACGGCCGTACGCGTGGCCGTTCTGCTGCCGCTCGCGCACAAGTTTCTCCTGTGCGTAGAAGTGCCGCCAGTCATGTGGCCGATGTTGGAATGGTTTTGTGTGATTATCCGAGACGTTTTGGATGAACCAGTCGTTAAACTCGCCACACGCCTCACTCATGGCCCGCCGCAAATGTCCGACACGCGAGAGGCATGCGTCAAGGGCACGGCTTTCCCGCTCACATGTGTCCTGCCCGCCCCTCGCCATGCACACTCTCAACGCCATTGTTTCTGACTGGCACATAGTGAGCTGCTCCTCGCCGCTCAGGCCGACAAGCTTCGCTTGCGTGAAAACAGGGGAGCCGCCGAGAGATGGCGAGGAGTCAATCTCGCCACGACCCGCGCGCCGCACGCCAAGGTTGTCAAACGACGTCCCCCGGCCAAAGTTTACAAGATTCGTTGGGTTGATAAAATCATATGCGTTCACAGGCTTAAGGCCGTACTGATTCACGCCACTATCGTGCTGACGAGCTTTAAGAAAAACAGGAGTGTAGCGGTACGCGTGGAAGATGTCAGAGGACTTCATTTCTTCGATGCCAGCTGTCTGTCAATCAGTATGTATCCTCTTTCACCGGCACCGCTACAACTACAATGACTACTATTGCCAACAGTAATAATAACAATAAAAATAACAAAAACAACAATTGTACACACAGCTCTGTTTTGGTAACGAAGGAGGGGAGGGGAGGCACGACGATCCCTGTCTTCTGTGCTGTCAGGCCGGCTCGTCAAAGAAAGAAAGGGAAAGCGGAAAATTCATCGGATTGGAGTTCATAGAATGGGAAGGGGGAAAAAAACACACACAATAAAGATGCGTAAACACTACACAGAAAACCCATAGATACATGTTCACATGCCACAACCCGCCCACTCTTGTTCGCGTCATTCTCACTGAAAGAAAAAATGGGAAAAAAAAAAAAAGAGTCACAAAGAAGAAAACGCCAACACCCACAAGAACGGGCATGTCACTTCCTTTCGCAGCAACCATTTGCCAAAGAAGAACGTGGGATTTACAAAACACACACGCACACACACACACGCACACACAAAAGAAGAAGAAGTCTTAAAAGGCTGAGGTACATTTTTTGAATATGTAAAAAGGATATGTAAAGAATTTTGTTGTTGATAATTTTTTACCGTTCATTCACATCCTTTCCTCTCCATCTCTCTCTCTATATGATGCCCCCTTCCCCTCGATTTCATTCAACAGCAATAAAGAAAAAGGATCGCAGTAAAATGGCAGACAAAAAGTGAGCACATGGCCCTTACAGCAGCCGCAATAACAGAGAGAAAAAGAAAAGAAATGGCAGACAAAGCAAGATGCAAAGACACACCGGTATGCAAGCGCAGAGGAGTCCATGCAACCAAAATTGTAACAGAGCCAGCAACAAAAGAAAGTATCAATCATGCATCAAACGCGACTGAACAGAAAGATGTAACACGACAGAGACAACAGGCAGAAAAGGAGTTGGATCCATTGCACCATGCCATTCACACAATGGCCAGGTTCGACAAATTACGCTGCATCCTGCATTTCATGATTGACACACCAGTTGGCTGAACTACTCTCTGGACCCGTTGATGCATCCACCGCCGTCGTTACAGACGCCACCGAAGCCTCTGCCCCTGAAGTGGCAGGGATTGAAGGCCCTCGTGGCTCTTCGCCGGGCACTCTAGCACTCTCCATTTGTTGTCTTGGGTCTACCACAATTCGTGACTGAAGCTCATTCTCCTTCTTGGCCGAGCCCCTCCACAAGTGCTGACTCATAGAAGCAGTATCTGCGGCTGGGACTCGGGTTTTCGTGAAGAAAGTTGATTCCTGGACACCGCCGCCCCACCGAGGCGTGGACAATGGAGATGACGAGGAAGGCATAAGAAGTTCATTGAATGGACGCAGCACGTATGTCTCATCGTCACGCAGAAATCGTATGGCCTCCTGAAGAGCCGTTGACATGACAGCACCATCAAATATCTGGGAAAGAAACGCCGTCTGCCGTGATGTGCGAAGTTGCAGTTCACTTAGCGTCGCCACAACGACAAGCTTTAAGTGAGTAACCGCTGGATCTCCAACAAATTTCGTCTCGCACTGCACAACGGCCGCCTCCATGTTATCCAACATGCCACGAATTGTGTGACAGTGGTCCATCAAGCGATGAGCAAAGGTTGAGACACTGCTTATGATATCCTGTAGGACTCGAGAACGCGAAGAAAAGGATCGTTGCCGCAAAGAGTGCGTGCTGCTCCCACTGCTGCTTTCACACATTGGTAAAAGGGGAGAAGTGGGTGCGGTGCTGCTGGCAGGAACTTGCTGCGAGGACCGCGTCGCGTCTATCACACATCGCAGTGCCGCGGCATGTGCCTCACAAGCTTTTTCAAAGCATTTGAATTGCGAGACCTCAACGTCTAGTAAAACAGCGGCGTGAGAAAGACGATTGAGACGCAGCAGCAACTGATTCACCACACTACTCAGTGAGAGTTCACCTTCCTGTGGGAGGCCTGCCTCCACCACCACCTGCGTCACGGTACTCCTGACCTCTGCCTGGGTGGATGCCACTTGTGCCTGTGCGGAGCGCAACATTTGCTGCAGTCGTGCCACCTCCGCCCGCAGAAACTCGCACTCGCCTTGCCGCTCCTCAAGTGACTCCAGGGCGCGATCTCGTGCTGTGCGGACCTCCTGCGCCGTCTGCTGCTCCCGCCGCAACGCAGTTTCCAGCTTCTCAACGTTGCTGCGGTGCAGCTCGTTGGTTTTCGCAAGAGCCGTCTCCAGATCGGCAGTCGCCTTCCGTGCCACACGCTCCAATTGCGACGTATTCTCCCGCAAGGCACTCTGCAGCTGTTCCCTCTCCTTCAAGTATGCTGTCGACTGAGTATTTTGGCGCTCCAATTCCTCTGTGAGTTTACTTATCGTCGCCTGCTGTTGCGCTCCAGTCTTCTCTGCATCGTGAGCGGCGGTTGCGGTAAAAGCCAACTTCTGCTGGAGCTGCTGCACGTCCCGCTGGAGATCCGCCACTTCCTTCCGGAGAATTTCCTCCGACAGTCGACTCACCTCCATTTTTCGCAGGCTGCGCTCCTCGCACTGCTCATACTCACGCTGTTTCTGAGCCAAAGTGTCCAGTGCTTCTTCAAGCTTTGACTGCAGCGTTGCCACTTCGGCGCGAAGGGACTTCACAGTTGCCGTCAGCTGCTCATGCTGCGCCGCCGCATCCTGCTGAAGGGTCCGGCAGCGATCCGTCCTATCGGTCAACTGGCGGCGCAGAAGCTCTGCTTCATCCGCGTGCTGCGTGCATTTACACTCCAGCCCTTTACACTCCTGTCGCACTGCGTGAAGGTCCTTCTGGAGTTGCACCACCTCCTCCTGTAGCTCTGCAACTTGCACCTGCCTTTGTGAACGCTCTCGAACCAGTAATTCCTGCTCACTTTCTGCCAGTCCCCGCATCTGTTGAAGCTCTTCAACACACCGGGCCTTCTCCTTTTTTAGCGCGTAAACCACGTGGTTCAACTCATTTTCCCGCGCTTCCGCCTCGACAAGTGTGCAACGACAGCGGGAAATTTCCTCCTGAGCATCTGCAAGAGTCCTCCGCACCATCTGCAGCTCCGCATCATGGGATTCCTTCTGGCGTCGAAGCTCCTTGTGAAGCTGCTCATTGTGCTGATTTGTGGCCTCCAGGTGGTTTTCCAGGCTCCCCACATCCTGCTTTGCGTTTAACCAGTCACGGTGCAGCGTGTCCCGCTCCGCGCTAAGGTTTGCGTGTGCTTCATCCAGCTTCCCAATCTCACCCTCCAGTATTTCACAGCGCTCCTTCAACTGTTGAATAAAACGCCGCTGCTGTTGATCTTTGCTGTGATTCTCATCCGACATCTGCCGAAGCTTTGCCTCCAATGCATCAACGTGTTCCTGCAAAACACATTGTTGTTTTTGAGAGGCCTGCAGCTCCTCCTGAAGAGCGCTGTTGCGACTTTCTAATGCCGCACTGCGTCGCTCTGCGCCACGTCGCCATGTCGCAGCGTCGCTCGTGTCGTTCGCATAGAGGGATTCCAGCTCCGTCAGCCGTGCCTTTGCCGCCTCCGCCTCCTGCTCCTGCTGCGCTTTGCGAGTGCGTAACCGCCCAATCTCAGCCTCGCTTGCCGTCAGTTGATTCTTTAGCTCAGTAATATGTTCATGTGCCTTTGTGCACTCTTCGCTCAGAGCAGCATGGGCAGACCGCAGTTCGGCAATGGACGCATTGAGCGCTTCCACTTGACGACGCGATACTACTTCCGTTGATGTGCTGCGCTGCGATAACGCCGTCAGCTGCTGCGTTGTGTCCATCAACTCTGCCTCGCGAGCCGCCTGTTCCGCCTCAAGCCGCTCGAGTCGCGGCAACACACGATCCAACGACGCCTGGGCAGCCTGTGCCCGCTTCGTAGCATCGTCTCGCTGAGCCTTGTACTCTTCTGCCTGTTGTTCCACCACCTCCAACTTGTTCTTAGCCACCTCCT